TTCTCATAACAAAACGTGTGCTTTTGTTGAGAGCAATATATGTCAAACTCATATGCTATAGTCTTGTGTAGGCTGTAGTGGGGTAGACAATCATGGGGTACAACACTTTTAGGTTTTCCTACTTGTACCCACCTGCTTGCTAGTTCATTCCTTCCTCAGTTCTTCACATGGTATAGAGCAGGTTCCCTAGTGGGAACTTTTCCTAGGGCCCACCACTGAAAATCGAGTTTTCTTTTTTTTTCCTGCCCTGAGATCGAGTCGCCCCTGACCGAGGCGCGCCCTGTTGTTCCGCCCTCCCCTTAGCGACCCGTCGCGCCGCCCTTAGCGGCCCCCCCTCTCACGGCCCCTCGCGACACGGCCCCGTCGCCGCCCCCTAGCGGCCCGTCGCGCCGCCCTGAGCGGCCCGTCGCGCCGCCCTCATCGGCCCCTTGCGGCCCCACCTCCACGGCCCCGTCGCCGCCCCTCTCGCGGCCCCGTCGACGCCGTTCGCGGCCCCGCCGCCGCCCTTAGCGGGCCGCGTCGCCGCCCGTCGCGGCCCTGCAGCCGCTCCTCGCGGCCTCGTCGCCGCCCTCTCGCGGCCCCAGTGCCGCCCTCTCGCGGCCGCGTCGCCGCCCTCTCGCGGCCCCTAGTGACGCCCTCTTACTTGCGGCCTCGTCGCCGTCCTTAGCGGCCCCGTCGCCGCCCCTTGCGGCCCCGTCGCCGCCCCTTTCGGCCCCTCCCCGGCCCCTTCACCGCCGAGCCGCCGAGCCGCCAAGCAGCCGAACCGCCGAGCCGCCGAGCCGCCGAACCGCCGAGCCGCCGAGCCGCCGAGCCGCCGAGCCGCCGAACCGCCGAGCCGCCGAGCCGCCAAGCAGCCGAGCCACCGAGCCGCCGAGCCGCCGAGCCGCCGAGGCCGCCGTCGAGCCGCCACTACCGAGCCGCTGCCGCTGAGCCGCCGTCGAGCCGCTACTGCCACTGCCGAGCCGCTGCCACCGCGGTTGCAGCCCTGTTCCTACCGGCGCGCCCCGGCCCTACCCACCCGGACTGGTGAGAGCACTCCCTGCTAGACCACTGCTGTCATGGCTACCCCCAGTGTCCCTTACCTTTGATGCTGAGGGTCGTGCTGTTGACTTCGAGGTCTGGGTCGATGACCTACAGCTCTTCCTACAGTGCGATAGGGAAGACGGACTCTCCCTGTTCGATCTCACCTCTGGTGCCTCTCCTGCCCCGCCTGCTGATGCTGACAGCACTGTTCGCTCACAGTGGGCCACACGCGATGCTGCTGCCCGTCTTGCTGTGCGTCGCCACTTCACCGACCGCTGAGCGTGCGCACTTTAGTCAGTACAAGAGTGCTAAGACCTTGTACGACGCTGTAGTTGCACGCTACTCTTCCCCTGCCACTGCTGCTCTTAGCCGCCTCATACTGCCGTACCTGTTCCCTGACCTTGCTTGCCTTCCCACAGTCGCTGACCTCATTACGCACCTTCGCACTAGTGACACTCGCTACCCGCGCTGCGCTTCCTGCTGAGTTCTGTGCCAAGAACCCTCCTCCCATGTACATCACCCTCTACTACATAGTCACCCGGCTCCCTGACTCCCTTTGTTTAGTCAGAGACCACTTCCTCTCAGTTTGCCCCACCACACTCACCGTTGACCTCCTCGAGGAGCGCCTCCTGGCAGCAGAGAAGAGCATAGTCGCTGTAGGAGCCTCTCGTGGTGACCCTCGTACCCCCGTCTTTGAGGGGTGTTCCCCCTCCCCCCTCTTGCCCTATGTTGCTTCTGCTGCTGCGGCCGACCTCGTTGGCTTCGAGTCGGTCGGAGCTGCGTCTGCCCCTAGCGGGAGACGCCGCACCGGCAAGGGCAAGGGGGGCAAGGGCGCTGGAGGGGCTGGCGGGGGCGGTGGAGGTGGCGGTGGAGGCAGTGGAGGGGGTGGGGGTGGTGGTGGGAGTGGTGGCGGGGGTGGAGGTGTCGGTGGCAGCAGTGGAGGTGGAGGAGGCGGCGGCGGTGGCGGTGGGAGCGGAGGCGGCGGAGGTGGCGGAGGCGGCGGCGGCAGCGGTGGAGCTGGTCGCGGCTCTGCGCAGAGGAGTGGCTCCGGTGGTGGTTCCGCGCCAGCTGCAGCAGCGCACTCGTGAGACCCCGTCCCCCCAGCAGCTTCGTGAGTGGTACGCTGGGCGTCAGCGAGGTGGGGGTACTGGTCCCTGTACCTACGTCCTCCGTATCGGCGACCGCGCTGGTGAGCAGTGCGGGGGCTCGCACTCCACCCAGCGCTGCTTCGGCCGCCTGACGGACGCTTGGCGTCACCAGTTCCCTGACGCCACTGAGATCCCTCGCTGGGGAGAGCTGTCTAGGGCGGGGGTTGCTATCTTTGATCTTGACTATGATGCTATACTTGCTGCCATGTATGCTGTGTCTACTAGTGATGAGGGCGACTGTTACTTGTGTGTTCCGCCTGACCCGAGCATTGAGACTGCTGCTCTAGGTGCTGGTGAGGCTGCTGCTCTAGGTGCTGGTGAGGCTACTGCTCTCGGTGCTAGTGAGTCTGCTGCCCCAGGTGCTGGTGAGTCTGCTCTCTCAGGTACCACGTCGGCTCAGGCCTCCCACACCTTCACCCTTGACTCGGGTGCTTCCCGCTCCTTCTTTCGAGACCGCACCACACTCACGCCGCTTAGTCGGCCAGTGGCGGTCTCCTTGGCAGACCCCTCCGGGGGTCCTGTCCTTGCCCACTTCTCCACTGTCTTACCGTGTCCGGCGGCCCCCTCTGGCACCCTGTCAGGTCTTTACCTCCCCTCGTTCTCTACGAACTTGGTGAGTGGTGCAGATCTACAGGATGGGGGGGTTCACCAGTTCACTCCTGCGAGTCAGCGAGTGACCCACTGCACGTGTGCTCGGACGGGCCGACACTTGGCCACGTTTACCCGTCGGCCGGGGTCGAGCCTGTACACACTGACTACTGGTCCTCCTCAGTCTACTGCGTCTGGTCAGGTAGCTGCGTCGGGTCAGGCGTCTGCTGCGACGTCCAGGTCTGGTCCTGAGTCTGCCCCCTGCTCGTGTCGTCTCCTGTCTCACCAGACTCTCCTCTGGCACCACCGCCTTGGCCACCCCTCCCTGCCTCGTCTCCGAGGCATGGCCTCCCGTGTCCTTGCCTCTGGTCTCCCCCGGTCCCTCCCTCCCCTCCCTCCGGGGCCTGCCCCTACTTGCGTTCCCTGCGTCGAGGGGCGGCAGCGCGCCGCCCCTCACTCCTCCGAGTTTCCTCCGACAGAGGCTCCGCTTGCAGACTCTTCACATGGACGTGTGGGGCCCTGCCCGCGTCCGTGGCCAGGGTCACGAGCGTTACTTCCTGTTGGTAGTTGACGACTACTCGCGTTACACCACGGTGTTCCCCTTGCGCAGCAAGGGTGACGTCACTGAGGTGTTGATCGACTGGATCCGCGCAGCTCGTCCCCAGCTCAGAGAGAGTTTCGGCTCGGACTTTCCTGTTCTGCGTCTGCACTCTGACAGAGGCGGGGAGTTTTCCTCTGCCCTTCCGGGAGCCTTCTGTCGTGCACAGGGCATCCGCCAGACCTTCACGCTTCCGGCCTCTCCACAGCAAAATGGGATTGCTGAGCGCCGCATTGGCATGGTCATGGACGTCGCTCGTACGTCCATGATCCATGCGGCTGCTCCCCATTTTCTGTGGCCGTTTGCGGTTCAGTACGCAGCGCATCAGATCAACCTTCAGCCCCGGGTCTCTTTGCCAGAGACCTCCCCCACCTTGCGGTGGACGGGGAAGGTTGGCGATGCGTCTGCGTTTCGTGTCTGGGGATCTCGGGCTTTTGTCCGCGACTTGTCTGCGGACAAGCTGTCCCCCCGTGCGGTTCCCTGCGTCTTCCTTGGCTTCCCCCCTGACGCGCCTGGTTGGCAGTTTTACCACCCCACCTCGCGCCGTGTTCTGTCCTCCCAGGACGTCACGTTTGACGAGTCGGTTCCTTACTACCGTCTCTTCCCCTACCGCACTGCACCCCTCCCCCCGCCGCCGCTCTTCCTTGCGCCAGGTCCCCCCCCGATAGACCCACTTCCCCCTCAGGGTCCTGCCCCGTCAGGTGTGTCCCAGGTAGACGCAGTCGAGCCTGTCGAGGTAGCTGTTGACTCTGGTACTGCTAGGGGTGCTGAGCCTGGGGGTGCTGAGTCTGGGGGTGCTGAGCCTGGGGGTGCTGAGTCTGGGGGTGCGGAGCCTGGGGGTATGGAGCCTGGGGGTGCTGAGCCTGGGGGTGCGGAGCCTGGGGGTACGGAGCCTGGGGGTGCTGAGCCAGGGGTTGTGGAGCCCGGGGGTGCTGGGTCTGCTCGTGTGGCCTCTGGTGGTGCTGGGTTTGGGGGCCCCTCGGGTGCTTCGTCGAGGCGGGAGCTACCCTCTCCACAGGAGCTGCGCGAGTGGTTTGCCCGGCGCTGGAGCCGTGCTGCTGGAGCTGGAGGTGCTGCTGTTACTGCTGACCCTGGGGTCGGCACTGGCGGTACTGGAGCTGCTGGCCTAGGGGTGCTGCTGAGGCTGCTAGAACTGACGGTCCTACTGGAGTTGGTGCTGCTGGAGCTGGAGCTGCTGGGGGTGTTGACGCTGGAGGTGCTGTTGGCGCTGGTGCTTCTGAGGGTGCTGGAGTTGGCGCTGTTGGAGCTGGAGGTGCTGCTGGCGCTGGTGCTGCCGCTGGGGGTACTGGTGCTGTCCCTGCTAGTTCTGGAGGCGCTGCGCGACCGCGGCCGTACTTCGTTCCGCTCCTTGAGCAGGTTCTTGGTCTCCCCGCCCTCTACTGGTCCTGCTCCTCCCTTAGAGTGTCCACAGCCTGTCCAGTTGCGGTCACAGTTACAGCCCGCCTCCCCCCTACCTGCTCCTTCTCCCTACACTGGTCCTACTGGAGGTCTTGCTGAGCGTCGTGAGCCTGCGTCTCGTCCTGCGTCGCCTGTTCGTGCTGCTCGCACTAGTAGTCGTGCTCCGCGTCCGCGTCCTCCTGCGGTCCCAGGCACACACCAGATGGCACTGCATCCTTCCACTGCTCCTCTGCGTGTCCCGTTGCCGTCTCCTCCAGAGTCCTCTCTTCCTGTCCTTGCTGACCCGGAGTCTGACTCTCTTCGTGCTGCCAGTCCTACTGTCACGCGTCTCCTGGCTACTGTTGTCACTGACCCTTCCTTTGAGTCCACTGCTGCGTCTGCCTTGGATGCTGAGCTTGTCGACTTTGCTGCTCGCTGTCGTCTAGACTACGCTGCTAGTCTTGTTGCTGAGTCTGAGTCTGTCTGTCCTCCGTCCGTCGGGGGTGAGTGTGCTCTTAGCACGGACGTCCTTGAGGACAGGCAGGAGGAGTTCCAGTGTTTTGCTGCTGCTTTGCCTCATCTCGTGTCCACGCTGATTGCCCCTGAGGGAGACCCGGATGCACCAGACATCCCGACTCCTCGATCGTACGCTGAGGCGATCGAGGGTCCCTACTCCTCACAGTGGCAGTCAGCCATGGACGCAGAGATGGCTTCCTGGAAGTCCACAGGCACCTACGTCGACGAGGTTCCCCCACCTGGGGCGAACATCGTCAGTGGCATGTGGATTTTCAGGGTGAAGCGGCCGCCGGGTTCTCCGCCTGTCTTCAAGGCGCGTTACGTGGCTCGAGGCTTCAGTCAGCGGCAGGGAGTTGACTACTTTCAGACCTTCTCTCCCACCCCGAAGATGACCACTCTTCGGGTGCTGCTGCACAAAGCCGCTCAGCGCGACTACGAGCTTCACTCTCTTGACTTCAGCACAGCTTTCCTGCAGGGCAGCCTGCACGAGGAGATCTGGCTGCGCCGCCCACCTGGCTTCACTGGGTCGTTTCCCCCTGGTACCCAGTGGAGCCTCCGGCGGCCAGTCTACGGTCTCCGCCAGGCGCCCCGTGAGTGGCACGACACACTGAGGACTACACTTGCGGCTCTTGGGTTTGCTCCTTCTACTGCCGACCCGTCGCTGTTTCTGCGCACCGACACCTCTTTGCCGCCGTTCTACATCCTCGTGTACGTCGACGACTTGGTCTTTGCCACTGCTGACACTGCTGGACTCGCCCACGTGAAGTCCGAGCTGCAGAAGAGACACACGTGCACAGACCTGGGTGAACTGCGCAGCTACCTTGGCTTGCAGATCACCCCGGACAGAGCACAGCGCACCATTACCCTGACTCAGTCACACATGGTGCAGCAGGTCCTTCAGCGCTTCGACTTCACGTACTCCTCGCCTCAGGCCACTCCTCTGTCTACTCGCCACTCGCTCTCAGCTCTGCCTTCGGATGAGTCCGTAGAGCCGAGTGGCCCGTACCCAGAGCTTGTTGGCTGCCTCATGTACCTGATGACCTGCACACGACCTGACCTTGCATACCCTCTTAGCATCTTGGCACGCTATGTTGATCCTGGGAGACACCGACCAGAGCACATGGCTGCAGCGAAGAGGGTGTTGCGCTACTTGTGCAGTACGTCGGGCATGGGGCTAGTGCTTGGAGGGCGACGTTTAGTGGTCCTCACAGGTCACGAAGATGCTTCTTGGGCTGACGACCAGGCTACGCAGCGGTCGTCACAGGGTTACACCTTCAGCCTTGGTTCCGGCTCTGTTTCGTGGCGGTCTACCCGCTCGTCTTCTGTTCTCGGCTCCAGCTGTGAGGCTGAGATCTACGCGGGGGCCATGGCTGCACAGGAGCTACGCTGGCTCACCTACCTGCTGACTGACCTAGGAGAGCCGCCTCGTTCTCCTCCAGTTCTGTACGTAGACAACAAGGTCATGCTGGCCTTGTGTCGGGAGCACAGACTGGAGCACAGAACGAAGCACATTGCTCTTCGCTACTTTCCTTGCTCGTGAGCTGCAGTAGCGTGGTCAGCTGCGCCTTGCTTACGTGGCCTCTGAGGCCAACACTGCTGATATCTTTACCAAGGCACTTCCGCCTTGTGATCATCAGCGCTTCTGTACGATGCTAGGTCTTGTGCCTACTTGACCTCACTTGCTCACTTCTTGACCTTGCTTGTACTGTGATCTTTCTATACCTGCACTTGCTTGTTTACCTTTATATATGATCTTGCATGTGAACTGGCCTTGTGGCCTTGAACTTGTGCTTGGAATGTGTGGTGACGTTGTGATCCACCCTGAGCTTGCTTTGCTTTACTTGACTGGTCTTGTGACCTCTTGTTCTCCCCCACTTTGCCTATGGGGGGTGTGTCAAACTCATATGCTATAGTCTGTGTAGGCTGTAGTGGGGTAGACAATCATGGGGTACAACACTTTTAGGTTTTCCTACTTGTACCCACCTGCTTGCTAGTTCATTCATTCCTCATTTCTTCACAATATATAGTTTGCACGGCAACCTACCGCATATTCGCCAACGGTGAAGGAAAACGGTGAGGTGTGTTTAGAGCCTTTAGGTCCCAAATAGCCGTCAACACTTTCTTCTCCTCGTAAATTGCCATCGTCCTAATTTCAACTGGCAAATTACGACAAGTAGTCGAGCTATGAAAAACAAGCGCTTGTACAAGGTATTACCGTATTTCTCCGTGTATAAATCCCCACATTTATTTCCGCCCCGGGGGCTTAACATAAGCAAAAGGCGATAAGGATATTTACAAACCGATACCCAATCCGTGTCAGACATGTGATTTTTTCCCATGATGTGGCACGATTTTTTTTTTTTCAATTAGCCATAGGGCGATAAGAAGAATTTTCGAAAACCACCACCCCCCCCCCTCCCCCCTCCCCCTTCCACAACAAGTCGAAAACCAGAAAGGAGGGGCTTTTATCCGGGGGTATACGATATATTAGCTCAACTTATCATGTTCAAGCAGCAATATAGTTATGATTGGTGTTTGACGGGGGGTTAGAGAGGTGCATGAGCTACTGGAAAATGAGAGATGTGGGTGGAGGAAAATGAGTTCCAAGTTCCAACCATGATTTATAGTTGGAGAAGAGTGTCTAGCATGGTTCACGATGCCAAAACCTACGTTACAAGCAGGTGTGTTTTCACAATACGTGATTTAAAAGAAAACATAATACGTGTTTAAGATTTATCATTTTTGGGGTTTTTGCTTCTTTCATTCGAAGCTCCACTTTTCGAGCATTTTGAACGATCCCGATTCATTCTTATATTTTCTAGGACTATAGGTCGTATGTGCGTGCCCGTTTGATCACTTGCTTGTTTGTGTGTTCATGTTTGTTGGAATAACCGACATATTATCTAGCTCTCCTAAGGCACGGCAGTAGCGTATTACCTCATAGAGAATGCGCTCTCCCACTATCGTGTTGCACTCATATAACATGTTGGGAGGTTTCGCACTGCAACATGGTAACCGTCAGGCATCAGAATAGTTACCGTTACTGTACCTTTACATGTAACATAGTTGAATAAGGGAATGTAATCCTCAGCGTACATGGCTAGCCATGACAATATATTTCAATGTAACGCATTGTAATTATTTTCTTGTCAATTACGTTCACTATGAACAAGGTCATTATAAGACGCTGTTCATAGCGCATTATTATGTCCAATCGGAGGAGGTGGCGGAGGTACTGGGACATCAGTAGGTACTGTCATTGGAGGAGGTGCAGGATCTGGTAATGTGGCTAGTGGAGGTGCTGGCCCCGGCAGTGTCGTGGTGCAGCAGCAGCTGCCGCAGTAGCAGCATCAGCACACCAGCACTTTCAGCAGCAGTAGTCTCAACAGTTTCAGCAATGGGCTCCGCAGCAGGTTCACCAGCAGCAATGGGGCTCGATCGACTACAGGAGCACTGGCTGCAATCGTGGGCCCTGCTAGCATGTGATTCAAACTGGTCCTTACGCCGGTCAGCTATGCGCATGTCTTGATCATTTAGCTGCGCGCTGCTTCAGCCACCTCTCCGACCTCTACCGCCAGCGCACGACCTTGCTGTGGAGCTCCAGGATTGGTTGGCGCTTCTTCAGCGTGTCTTGCCTGCGTTTTGTATGAAAATGACTACTATTTATGCTGCTTTGTTTCAGGACCTGTCAAGTATGGCGTTGACTTTAGTGTTGCTGGGTCTTGTTATTCGTGTCTGCCAAGACTAGGATCTCTAGATGTTTCTTGTTTAGGATCATCTGATGTTGCTTGCACAGGTGCGGCCAGCTGATAAGTTCCTCTCCTTCACGCTTGACTCACGCAAGTCTCGTTGCTTCTTCTGTGACCACACCGGCCCCATGCCTCTTCCTGTACTAGTCCCAGTCGCGTTAGCTGGCCCCTCTTCCGAGCAAGTCGTTGCTTGCAGCACTACTACTCTCCCGTGTCCGGCAAACCCCTTTGGCTCCCTCACAGGTCCGCTCATCCACTCGTTCTCCAGGAACTTGGTGGGTGTCAATTGTCTTTAGGCCACCACGTTTCCTGGACATGAGCGTTCATCGACCTGTACGAAATGTACCACTGGAGCATCTCTTGCTAAGTTCCCTCGGGTGCCAGCATCAGGCATGTTCATGCAGCGCACTGGGTCTCCTCAGGTTACTTGTGTATGGTCAGGTAGCTGTGGCGTCCTCGTCTCGGTCACTCACTCACTCGTCGCTTTTGTGGCTTCACCGCTTAGGTCACCCCTCCTTCTCGCGTCTCTGTTATATGGTTTTCAAGAGTCATGTTTCAGGTCTATCAAATCCGCTCTCCCCGCCCCCTCCCTCGTCTGCATCTCCGTGCATTCCTTGCATTGAGGGTCGGCAGCACGGTGTCCCTCACTCCTCGTTGTCTCTTGTCGCTGCCCCATGTCAGGCCCTACAAATGGACCTCTGGGGCCTTGCCCCTTTCGCTGGACAGTGTGAGGAGCACTACTTTTTAGTGGTTGTGGATGACTTTTCCCACTACGACATGGTGTTTCCCTTACATCGGAAGGCCGACGTCTCCTCCCGTCGCTAGTGGCCATCCGTACCCAGCGCTCCAACATGTGCTTCCTCTACGCTCTGACCAAGATGGCGAGTTCACCCCCTGTTGGATTGAGCAGTTTTGTGGCGCGTAGGGTGTTAGAACTATGAAAGGGTTGGGTACAAGTATGAAACCCTAAAAGGGGCTGTACCCCATATTGGCTACCCCACTACATCCTAAAAATATATAGCATATATATATATACTTTGACACACCCCCATAGGCAAAGTGGGGGAGAGCAAGGGGTCACAAGACCAGTCAAGAGAAGCAAAGCAAGCTCAGGGTGGATCACAACGTCACCACACACACTGAGCACAAGCAAAGGGCCACAAGGACAGTTCACATGCAGAGGTATATATGCAACAACAGCAGTACAGTGATCTCTACCTAGCAGAACAAGCATGAAGGTATATGTATATATAGATCACAGTATAAGCAAAGTCTACAGCAAGTGAGGAAAAGTGGGCACAAGGCCTAACAAAGTGCAGAAACGCTGATGATCACCAGACGGAAGTGCCTTGGTGAATATATCAGCAGTGTTGGCCCGAGTGGCCACGTGAGCAAGACGAAGCTGACCACGCTGCTGCAACTCTCGAGCCAGGAAGTAACGCAGAGCGATGTGCTTCGTTCTGTGCTCCAGTCTGTGCTCCTGACACAAGGCAATGGCGGCCTTGTTGTCGACGTACAGCACTGGAGGAGAACAAGGCCGCTCTCCCAGGTCGGTCAGCAGGTAGGTAAGCCAGCGTAACTCCTGTGCAGCCATGGCTATGGCGTAGATCTCAGCCTCACAACTGGAGCTGAGAACTGAAGACGAGCGTGTAGAACGCCAAGAAACTGAACCAGAGCCAAGGCTGAAGGTGTAACCCTGTGACGACCGCTGCGTAGCCTGGTCGTCAACCCAAGAAGCGTCTGAGTGCCCAGTGAGGACAACGTCGCTCCGTCCTCCAAGCACGAGCCCCATGCCCGATGTACTGCACAAGTAGCGTAGTACCCTCTTAGCAGCATCCATGTGCACCTTTCGGTGCCCACCAGGAGCCACGTAGCGAGCCAGAAGGCCAAGAGGGTACGCAAGGTCAGGACGAGTGCAGGTCATCAGGTACATGAGGCAGCCCACTAGCTCTGGGTAAGGACCACTCGGCTCTACGGACTCGTCCGAAGGTGGAGCTGAGAGCGAGTGACCTGTCGCCAGAGGAGTGGCCTGTGCCGAGGACCAGGTGAAGTTGAAGCGGTGAAGGACCTGCTGCACCATGTGTGACTGAGTCAGTGTGATGGTGCGGCGTGCTCTGTCCCGGGTGATCTGCAAGCCAAGGTAGCTGCGCAGCTCACCCAGGTCTGTGCACGTGTGTCTCTTCTGCAGCTCCGACTTCACCAGAGCGAGAGCCTCAGTGTCAGCAGTGGCAAAGACCAAGTCGTCGACGTACACAAGGATGTAGAACGGCGGTAGCGAAGTGTCGGTGCGCAGAAACAGCGACGGGTCAGCAGTCGACGGAGCAAACCCAAGAGCCGCAAGTGTCGTCCTCAGTGTGTCGTGCCACTCACGCGGCGCCTGGTGGAGACCGTAGACTGGCTGCCGGAGGCTCCACTGGGTACCAGGAGGGAACGACCAAGTGAAGCCAGGTGGGCGGCACAGCCAGATCTCCTCGTGCATGCTGCCCTGTAAGAAGGCTGTGCTAAAGTCAAGAGAGTGAAGCTCGTAGTCACACTGAGCGGCAACGTGTAGCAGCACCCGAAGAGTGGTCATCTTCGGGGTGGGGGAGAAGGTCTGTAAGAAGTCGACTCCCTCCCGCTGACTGAAGCCTCGAGCAACGTAACGAGCCTTGAAGACAGGCGGAGAACCTGGCGGCCGCTTCACCCTGAAAATCCACATGCCACTGACGATGTTCGCCCCAGGAGGGGGAACCTCGTCGACGTAGGTGCCTGTGGACTTCCAGGATGCCATCTTTGCGTCCATGGCTGTCTG